AGGTTAGTCATTCATATACTGCTGCATGGGCTGGGCTGTAGTTACATCCTAAGGTTTTAAAAACTGAGCTTAAATAAATGATTAGCGGTAATAAAAGCCGAGGGAGGTCAACAGTGATCACTGACTGTTTTAGGAGCTTTTTGAGATCAAATAGAAGAAAATACATAACATTAAACATGTTAACAACACAAAAGCCATATTAAACGCAGACTACTTTAGACCCGGAAGTAGGATTCGTCGCGTCATCACTGAACAACCGGATTACTGCTGCTGGATTCACAGCGTTTTTGAAACTGGTTCTCAGATGGTTCTCCGACTAGAATCCACCTGGATGCCTAAGTGAGGTGTTTTGAGCGTATCCAACTAGTAGTAGACACACTGGTAGGACAGACACAGGATAGAGATTATGTCTCATTTTGGTTGGTAACACCTCAGTCCCCTCAGAAGAGCTGGAGACGGTGGATGTGGAGAGGAAGATTTAGCCATCTCTGCTTAGACTGCTGACCCCTCAATCTGGATCTTGATAAGATGCAAAAGATGGATTGATGGGTGGATAGTGAACTACAAATAAATATTTGTGCTACAGTTAGAAGATTTCCATTTTCATATGCCACACAGATAAAAATTTAAAGGGTTAGTTTCAACCCTTACTGTAACCCTAAAGAAGTGACTTGTTGACCTGGTGGATACATAGAGGTGAAAACCTTAACATGAGAATTGCTTGCAACATGGCAAAAAGCACATTAGCTGTGCAGGCTGTATAGAGAGACTGAGAAAAAGAGATGCAGGGAGTGAGAGTTTGACCGCAGTGACCAGTGGAATTAGAGGCAGAGCTTATCCCTACTCCGGTATCAACACATATAAGCCCAATGTTCCAACTCCAGAAACCTGCCGTCCAATCCATCAAAACTCGACTCCCATCGACATAAAAACCTCCCTCTCTGCCTGTATTTGTCTTCCTAATTAATTACTTCACATGCCACAGTATGTTTCTCAAATGATAGATGATGGAAAATTATAGCTGTGGTGTCCCAAGCACAGCCGGCGGTAGATTTGTGCAGTCAGCTTCCAGCTTGCATTACCTGAGTAGATCTGGCGGCGTGCCTGAGCACTCAGACAGGACAGGACGGATTTGATGTTTGGTGTGTAAGAGGCTTTTTTCCCTTTTATTTGGGGGGGGGGGCGGTAATGTTTCTAATGCCGGATTTAGTAGGTAAGCACAATCTGCCGTGTTCACCTATGTGATATTATCCAGCAAGGACGGAGGAAAGTCAGTCTGTTCAGTCTTTGTGGACCTAAAGGCTTTAAATGTTTGGCCTACTGCTGCTGCATCTGGAGAAAAGCAGCTACATAACATTTTTATTTGGTTTTTGGTTCTTATTTTCTTCAAGTAACATGTGATTTCTTTTCCTTTTTTTATGTGGAAAATAAAAGAGCCATGTCATTTCTACTTTACAAAACTCTGCTTTTAAAAAAGCAAATACACGACTTTGTTTAACACATTTAAGCTCTGTAAAAGCCCCAAAAGACCTCCAACTAAACAATAATCATTACTGCTTCAGTAATCCTGAAGCAACATGTAGGGCAGCCGTATCTAAACACTCCTACAATTGCAGTGTTAAGTGTTAAAGTCAGATTAACATTCCTTACATTAAACATTTTATGTGGACATTTAGGTAATTAACAACCTTCCAAAACCTACAGCAGGGTTACACCACAAAAATGCACATGAAAGCAAAAAGTAGGATATGAATGAAATGAGAAGAACACAAACTGTTAACCAAAAAGGCAAGGGCTGAAGCTCTATCAGAGCATGCTTAACTGAATAAATCAAGATATTTTTTTCACAAAAAGTAATAATCATACTTATATGATTACAATATTATATTCTATGTAATATACATGATTATATGTTCTGATTATATATGTATGTAAACCATCAAAATTCCTCATGTAAGTTAATCAGTTGGTGTGTGTGTGTGTGTGTGTGTGTGTGTGTGTGTGTGTGTGCTTCATCATTGCAGAGATAATATCAATATAAATGCATAATCGTACGCCCTGTACATTCAGGTCTGTAACATTTTGGACCAGTGACAGATTTTTGTAACCATGTCCTGCTCCTGTTGAAAATGTTATACTGTGTATAAAAATAACTCCAATTCCTAAACAGGTAATGCAGTACTTCTGAAAGCTGAAAGTCTGCTGTTCAATATTTTAATTTAAAATCCACTATGGAGGTGTACAGAGGCAAAACTACTAAAAATGTCTTTGTTTGTCTAAAAAAGTATTCCCATAAATGTAGGTTAATGATTAGTCCCTTAATTGTTTCCTAATATTCCATCCATTTACAATATTTGCACATTGATATAGCTTGCTTCTGTGATATACAGTATAGCCTTCCCCGTGGACAATGACAAGATTTAACTTGCCTTTTTTTTTAGATATTGTTTTCCAAATGTCCTAATTTTCTTTTTAATTACTTTTTTATGTTCATAAGGTGCATCCATACTCATCAACAGAGATGGGCAGTAACGCGTTACTGTAATCCAATTACTTTTTTCAAGTGTGTGAATGGGTGAATGACTGAATGTAGTGTGAAGCGCTTTGGGGTCCTTAGGGACTAGAAAAAGCGCTATACAAATGCAGGCCATTTACCATTTACCATTCAAGTAACGAGTAAAGTAAGGGATTACTATTGCAAAAACGGTAATTAGATTACCGCTACTTTCCCATAGGAACGCTGCGTTACTGCGTTACTAAAACCGTGATTTTTTTGCGAGAATGTCTCATGACAGTGACGTAAGCAAGTGCGACGTTCGTGACAACAGCTGTGTGCAGATCAACAATGGATAATATATCGAGTGCGGGAGAGAGTATGAGCCTGCAGCGTTTAAAGCGTGGAAGTACTGACCTTATTTTAAGTTTGATTCCATAAAAAGTGACAAAAACGTTGTGCGTGGGAAGAAAACTTCTTTTTACAGCAAAAAAACCCCCCTAAACTTCCAAGCAAGCACCGAGTAGCTACGACATAATGGGAAACTCACAGAGAAACTCCCGGATTCTTCCACTGACCGCTGCGGCACACCTGCACCAGGGTAAACCTCTGCCTACCCCACTCCTGCTATACAGGTGAAAATAGAGCAACAGGACCGCTAGTCTTTGACTTCATTTATTTTCTGCTGTGTTTTACTTGCATCTATTTGAAAGACTGAGTGTAAACACAAAAAATATTTTATTTTATGTGCTGGAATGTGCAGAAAATAGGTTTAAATATTAAACAAATTTCTTCCAGTCAGAGAATGTTGCATATAATTACATTTTTGTTTGATGCATAAAGTTAAAAGATTAAAACTAATAAAACAAGTTTTAAAAAGGGACTTTTCCATTTGATTACATTTTGTATGATGGATTATGTAGAAAAAGTAGAATTGGGCTGAAAGATCTATCGCTTTATCACCTATTCAGGTTGTAAATCGTGTTTTTAAAAAGTAACTAAGTAACTAAACAATCCTCCTTACATGACCATTTCAGCCCTAAGCCTTTTGCAGCAAATGGCTATATTCTATATTCTCTGAAACAGCTACTGGAGGTTTCTTCCTGTTAAAAGAGATTTTCTTTTCCCCACTTTGGCCAACTGCTTTCTCGTAGGAGCCTGTTGGGTTTCTACTCATTATGCTGTAGGATCTTTACCTTAAAAATGATTTAAAAAAAGAAATGAAAGTTGTTTATTTGTTAAGAAAATTCAGTGTTTCTGTGTCTGAAAAGTGAACTTCTTCTTCTTCTCCTGTATCTGTGATACATGCTGTCCACTTTGCAGCAAAGACTTCAAGACTTACTTTTTTACAAGAGTAGTTCTCAGCGCAGGAGTATTACAGGAGTAATAAACAAACAAATCGACAGGAGCCCTCCTATCGCTCCCTTTTTGGAAAAAATATTTTTGATCAGTCGTACTGCCTAAGGCCAGGTCTTTAATACAAATTCCAGGCCTTTGATTCACTGTGCTGTCCGGTTTTAATAATGCAGGCATGTTCGCGGGTGGTTTGTGCCGTCTCCCCTGCCCCTCCTCCTGAAGAAGGCCGCTTCCTCAAGGCAATGTCAAAAAAAAAAAAAAATGACCAGCGCTGGACAGGAAAGGCTCACCGTGAGAGAAAGTTAGGATGGGAGCAGTGGGTGTGTGAGAGAGAGCGAGAGAGAGGAAATGAAAAGTAGGGGGGAGAAAAGTTTCTCTTTTTTTGTACTGGGAGCACAAAAGAGCATATTAAACAGTAAAGTTTATCAGTCTAAATTAAGTCTTGAATTCACAGCTTCTTTAATCTTCACATCTGAAACCATTTCCTCTCTCCCCTCCACTCCCGCCTTCACATTTCCTCCTGTTAAAACAGTGGAATGAAATGCAGCCCGTGCCGTTGACTCTCCCCATGTCGAAAACACCGAGACACATCATAAAAAATTAATTACTCCTCCGAACCCCCCCCACCCCCACCCTTTGCTCATTTCCATAAGATTCCTTTAAAAAAATGTAAAATTCATTTAAAGTAAGTGGTGACGTTGTCTTTGAAGATCAAGACAACTAACACGGATCAAAGCGGAGGTTCTGTACGGATGAGGGCCTGATTAGCATAATGAAATTAACTTGGAGACAAGAATCTCTAATAGGTGCAACAAAAAAAACGCATTAACAATATTTAAGGAAAGTGCTGTTTGTGCTTGTAATACAACAATTATGGAACTTGTGTTCAATTAACACTTTGTTGATTAACTTCTTTCTTCGTACGCGGCGTATACCGAGGCCTCTTTTCATTTTAAAAGCGTCACTTTTGCTCTTTTCTCCCCTCCTTTTTCGCCTTTCGCTTCCCAACTTGACACACATGATGATTCTTTGCTGTATTGTTTTCCTTAAATCGGGCCATGAAATCAGTCTGAATTTGCATATTCACAGTGATAATTGCAAAGCTGGCAGATAGTTGTGCTATAATTGCAAACTAATGACTGCAAAATTATTTGTGAACTCGCTGGATATTGAGGTTTTTCTTTTTTCTTTTTTTTGTCTCGCTCTCTCTCTTTCCCGACAGCACCTAATTTGAGTGACAGCTCCAGCAGGTTAGAAAAAAAAGCCTTCATCTGGAAATTTTCCTTTGAAATTAACCAGAGTCACGGTATCTTTGCCGTCACAGCGTGTGATCTGTGTACTACAACATCCTGCACAAGCTCTCAGCTTGTAGTTTCTGTCTGAGGGGCTTCAAGACATCCTCCTTTTCCTGAAAGAGAAACACACGCAGGCATGCGGTTATTAAATGCAGCTGCGAAAATACCTGCGAATACCAACATCCCAGCTTTGATAACAGGAAGGTGAGACTTAACCAATTAAGAATGATTTACCTAAACACCTTCAGCTAAACTCGCACTGCAACTCCAAAGGAGCAAATACACAAAAGACCGAATAAGATCAATCCAAATGAAACTTACTTTTCTGTATTTCTGATGATTGCATCCGGTCGATTCAAAAGTTTTCCACAGGCTCATCCACCCAGAGATTCAAATGACACGATGGGTTTGAAGCCCTCACCGTTATCTCTTCAAGTCTGCAAAGAAGGGGGGGCACATGAGGATGAGCCGTGACTAAGAGAAATAGGCTGTATTACAATAACTTTAATATTAACTTGATTTATAGAACACTTTCTGAACATAGAGTTTACACATTAAACATCCAGTACATCGTCAAATTCTTGAGCAACCCCTCAATCCTTTATAAGTTGCTTGGAAAATGGGAAATAGGTGCAGCAATTCATGGAAACGTGCATGAATTGTTGCATGGAAATATAGGATATGAGCTCCAAAGTCATTTGGGCTCTGAGGAGGCCAATCCATGGCTGATAGTGTTCCACTGTGTGCTTTTTTTTCTATCCAGGTACCATTTTACTACCGTACATTGGCAGTGTGTTTGGGATCATTATCTTCATGGAAAATGAAGCCGTTGCCAATCAGATGTTTTCCAGATGGTATTACATGGTGGGTCAAAATCTGATGGTGCTTTTCTCTGTTCATTTCCGTTTTAAAAAGATCTTCAACACCACTGGCTAAAAATGCAGCTCAAGCCATGACAGAGCCTCCACTGTGGCTCTGACCTCCTCCGTACAAATTGATGACGATTTTAAGGACATGACGTGTTTGTAGGCCTTCTTTTTAGTCCTCCACTTGTTTAGTTTCCTTAAATGTTTAAGAAAACACCGCACATCATGCTAAGACATGTCAGGTTTCAGCTAATAGCTCTTTGATGAAATGGTAGTTTTGTGCCAACAATGTGATTCCCACTGTTACAATTTTACTATTTTTCATAGATTCAGCTGAAGAAACGGGAACAAATGATATGTCTTTTTCTGACAGGCTGCAAGTAACACAAAGTCATTAAAGATACAATTTAAAAATGTTCTTTAATAAGTTGCCTGTTTTATGTAGACACAATACTGGTTCATCCTTTGAGTTCAGTTCCTTTTAAAAAACTGAATGATTCATCGGTCAGTGTGAAGGGGCCTCACAAACAAAAAACACATTCCTGTGAAAATGATCTGGTACAAGGACTGGTTTATTGATAGGTAATTTCATATGTGGCCTTGTAAATGGCGATACATTGGGGGTCTTGGTGAGAGAACACTGGAGGCCACCTCTTCCAGAAAAAAGAGAGGAGTTAGTCTGTGTGATCTGAAGAGAGGAAGCCTTAATGTACACACTGAACTGGATTCTTACTTGTACTTTTCAAAAGAACAGGTGTAGAGGTAGCGATGAAATACGCTGGATACTGATGTTTTGGCACTGTGTCAACCCTCTAAAGAGCAGATGTCGCCAAACACTTCTCTGAAGTGTTGGTTCAAAACACTGAGGTCATGTGACCACAGCTCATAGATGTTTTTGTGCATTTCACCACAGTTTCAACAAGTAGCTTACCTGCTGCTTCTAGGCAGGCGAAGCACCATGATTCCCATTGTGGACAGACCAGAATCACTTGGATGGCGCCTTATAATTACTGAAGTGTTTTTTACACTGCTGTTTCTATTTATGTGCGTACACCCGCACATGTAAAAGAAAACAATACCTGATCTATGGTTATTATTTTAGCTGCAGGTTATCCATTCCTTTAAACACAGAGATCCAAAGTGTTATTAAAAACTTAATGATTTGAATGATTTCTGTCATATAGATGAGAGACTGCAGGCTGAGCTTATATCAGCAGAAAGAGAGAGCGGCACACTGAGCTGCAAATTCATTAAATTATCTCAATAGAAAGTGTATCTACATTCAAGGAGAAAAATAAAACTGCTCTAACTTCTGTCTGTTCTCCACTCTTTGGATGTGACTGTGAGTCAGCTGCCTTCAAAAAGTTCCATGTTTTTATTGTATTACATATGCGGATTTTCCTCATTCTTGCCTTCCATACAAAATTAATTAAAAAGGCTAAAACTAATAAAAACTCAGTTAAAACAAAACATTTTCAAGCACTGGAAGCAAACTGAAACTGTAAAAACGAAATAAAAATGAAAAACTTGTTAGAAACGTCAACACCATAATAACTCTGCTCACAAGGCAGCAAAAGGCCACTGACGTTAAGATTGATCATTCAACGCCCCCCCTGGCCAAACTTGTCCAGAAGATGAACCTCATGATTCAGAATGTATGCAAAAAGGATGATCTGATGATATAGCCCTCAAAACTTTACCCAGAATGCATTTTGTGAAGAGTTCTCCAATGAATTAACCATTAACCATCCAGGTTACCAGCGCTTTTTTCTCTTACCCTATACACGTCAGATTTGCAGTTTAAATTGTGACACCTGGAGTGAGTGCACATAAAATGAAATTAACAGAACTTAAAAAACACTAATTGTTCATCTTTTTCACAGAATAACTGAGCATTGTCTTTTCCCTGTTGATGAAATGAGCTTCACCTACAAAAAAAAAGCAAGAATAAAAGAGAAAGAAGTGGCTAAGGATGGAGGTTGGTTAAATCAGAAAGTAACAAAAGAGTCCCAGATTACTATTTGAGCCCGCTGTGTAAAAGCCAACTGTAATGAGACATTTATCAGCAAGTTTGTTCAGATGTTTGGTCGCCTGACTCTTTGTGTTGTTTACTTTCTAATCTGACCAGCACTCCTCTCAGTGGGAGTCGGGTGCATCTCCCCCCAACTTCTTTCTGACAGAGAAAGGAGCACCGTCCTCTTTGGACCTAGCAGTAATTGAAATAAATTACAAGAGTGCAGCGTTGTTTTTGTTATCTGTGGTTAGTTAACAGCACCTCCCCTCCTGCTCAGGGAACAGAGGGATTCAGGGAGGAGAAGAACGACGACAACGAGGTTCCAGTGACCCAGATTTAGTCTCAAAACATAAATAAATTATCACCACCGCCACCCCCCCACCCCCTTCTCCCCAACTGCCCCCACCCACCCGCCCTTCACACACACTTCCCATATTCAGACTCTACCTTCAAAGTTGCAAATGGAATTTAATCATGGTAAAATGGAGATTTACTCGCATTCCTGCATGGATTTATGCACACAAACTCATGCATATATACATTATCTAAATATAAACATGCACACTGACCAGGAGGTAATACAGATATTCTTTTGTTTCAGCTTTTCTGCATCAACACAAATGAAATATATTTGTTTGTTTGGATATTAAGTTTCAGTAAATGATGACCTTTTGTTGCATGTTCCTTTGGATAAATACAGAAACTCTGCAGCATAAACCAAAGCAGAAATTACAAAGTGGAGTTTAAAAATTCTCAAGACTACAGTAAATGTGAGAGACCTACACCTGTGATTTTGGACATTAGGGATCCGTTAATAGCTGCTTTTAGGTTAGCAACTACATTTGAGTTATCTGTGATTTGGTTACATTTGAAAGAGTTTATATAACATTAGGTATGTTTCTAGAAAAAAACTTACACGAACTGTGATGAACTTAAAAGTGAAATGCTTTTTGCTTAACTTGTCAACAAATATAATTGTAATAAATGAATAAATACATAACGACAAATGTCAGCTTAGTATGATTAAACATTATACCTACTACACATAATATAAATACACTGAGCCTGGAGCTGTGGTCTTAGTCACTGGTTGCTAGGGAAACGTGTATTCTGCAATCAGTTGGCAAGTGGTTGTTGGAGGTTGCTGGCTATCACTGTGTGAAACTGGTCACAAAAGGGGTGCTGCATCAAAAACCTCCTTACGCTCACTAGTAGGATCCCCAATTGCCAAAATTTGCAAAGTAGACGTCAACTTATTGTAAAAACTCTGCAATTGCTTGCTAGGCTGTAGTGAAACAGAAAACATTTACCTTCAAAATAAAAGTTTTACCTTTTGAAATGTATCAGTTTCAGTAATAGGGCACAACTTTTACTTCGACATGTTCTCTGTGTCCGTTGAAATAGTTAATCAAACGTAATCACCTGAATTAACAAAAAAAAAGGACAAGAAAATAATTTTTAGTATTCAGAATTAGTGCACATGAAGCTACTACTGGATACTAATGGTAGGTTGATGGTGTAGTAGTACTAGCATTAGTAGTAATACATGAGAACACTCAAGGTATTGTTATGATTTTTGTTGGAGATCATATATTATTATTAGTATTTTCACAGGTTTGTAGTGGCTAATTCTACAGTCAGAAGTACATTTTAATATAAATAAAATTAGAAGTAAAGCCACACAAACAAAACAATAAATGGAAGAGCCCAAAAATCTATACTAACAAAATCTGCAGATAAATCAATATTAGATAACTGGCACACGGCTATTGGGAGTGATTAGTCGTTTTGGTGCTTCTTGTTAGTATGTCTCTGTCCAGAAAAATAAATGAATAAGTGATCTTATATTAGATTGCTTGATAAAATAAAGCCACTAGCAATCGTCCAGAAAAGGTAACGCAGATGGTCCATGTCCTTATCTCCCCTAAAGAAAGAATTTCCAAAATCAAAGTCTAAACTGTCACCAGTAAACAATCCTCTTTATTCACACTTCATTTGTTTGGAGAACATCTTGAGAAAACAGGGTTCTTGTCCTCAGAAAACAAAGTCATAAAATCAAGGAATCTGAGCCTGTGCAGGAGTGACAGTGTTTTTAAGCAGGCCTGTCTGTCGTGGCGGCGTTTTAAGAGCGTTCTCTGGCGACTGCCGTGACACTGCCATTCCCATGCCCTGTTGAATTCTTTCCTCAGATCCCAGGCATTTAAACTGCTCCCTCCCTCCCCTGCGCCACTCAGGATGCAGCCAAAAGTCCACTGACCTATGTGGGAGTGGATATTTTGGAAGACGGCCCTGGCTCTTTCACTCTCTATTCCTGTCCTCGCACGTTCATTAGCCCTGGCCTCGAGAGTCAGAGTGTTTAGATGTTGTTATCATTCCTCTCCTATCATTTTTCTTCCCTGTTTTTTCTCTCTTTTCCCCTCCAGAGACACATTTTTTTTATCTAGGTTGGGTCAACTGCTGTAATAAATACATTTATGTCACATTACAATTACTATAATCACCAAGTAAATATATATGTGTTTTTCCTGGTGATGGTTGGTTGGTAAGGCTC